GTTTTATTTTAACATCGACCAAATAATTCTGGAGCAATCAACCCTCAAGCAACATCCCTAAAGTGGTGACCCCGAGAAGAACAAACCCGAGAAGAACAACCCCGTGAAGAACAACCCCGAGAAGAACAACACCAAGAACATTGAAGATGTCGACAACAGAAAATTCCGGTGCAGAGCGTCAAACTTCATCAACACCGTCGAGCCAAGAAGTCTCCGGTATTTCACTGTCGCTCCGCGTGCCACCATTCTGGCGTGACCAGCCGCTCCTCTGGTTCTGCAGTTTCGAAGCAGCAACCGCCGATCTAAAACGAAGCCAGGCCCAGCTCGCCCAGATGGTCATCGCACAGCTTGAAAAGCAAGACATTCAAAACATCGCTGACCTCATTTGCTCGCCGCCGGAAGCAGATTACTACAACGCAATTAAAGACCGTTTAATATCGCTATACGAAGAGTCTAACAGCGCACAAACGAAGAAGCTACTGTCGCAAGTCGAGCTCGGAGACCAGAAACCCAGCCAGCTGATGAGGCAAATGAAGCAGCTTAACAAGGATAAATTTCCCGAAAGCACCATCAAAATGATGTGGCTCGAGCATCTGCCGCCACAGATTCGCTCCGTGCTAGCTGTCAGCGAAGCGTTTAAAATCAAAACGACGCTCGACGACCTTACCTTGCTCGCGGACAAAATGATGGAAGTCCACACGCCGTCGCAACACATCGCTGCCGTTGCAACGCCTTTCGCATCTGTACCATCGACTCCACCACCTCTAGCACAACCACCTCATCCGCAACAGCCAACCATTGACACCCTCATCGGTGAAATAAGAAGGTTGTCTTTGGAAGTTGCTGAGCTACGAGCACAACCTCGCGACAACTACCACAACAGTCGCTCTCGACACCGTTTCCAATCACGCTCGAGGAACGCATCTCCAAATCGTAACGAAATCCGACGTGAGTCGCAGATGGAAGACCGAAGCCGAAAAAAATCTCCAATGCCGTACTGCTACTACCATCATCGCTACGGTATGGACGCGAAGAAATGCGCACCACCGTGCAGTTTCAAGCCCATTAACCAGTCGGAAAACTAAAAGTAACGCTAGCCGCGGCGGGAACTGGCGTTACCGAATCATCACACCGCCTTTTCGTTACCGACAGGGTAACGAAACTTACCTTTTGGTCGACACAGGAGCCAATATCTCCGTGCTACCAAAGAAAAAGGGCTCACGCGAAAAACCACTGCCGTTTCAACTCTACGCCGCAAACAACACTGTAATTCCTACATACGGAGAGAAGTCACTCACACTCGATCTTAACCTCCGAAGACCATACACATGGAAATTTGTCGTAGCAGATGTGTCCAAGCCAATCCTGGGAGCAGATTTCTTACAGTACCACCACCTCATTGTCGACGTAAAAAACCGACGATTGATCGACGGGAAAACACAGCTGGTAACTAACGCTCAACTCAGTACTTCGGGCATACCTACAGTTCGCAGTATAGACATTGGGCAAAATTACCACAGCATACTAGCAGATTTCCCAGGCACAACTAGACTCACTTCAATGAAGCTTAGTCCTAAGCATTCCGTCGAACACTTCATTGAAACAAATGGACCGCCTCTTCACTGCAGGCCACGCCCCATTGCGCCGCATCGCTACGAAATGGTCAGGAAAGAATTTCAGAACATGATAAATCAAGGGTTATGCAGACCAAGCAAAAGCCCTTGGGCATCACCTCTTCACGTCGTGCCTAAGAAGAGTGGAGAGTTACGCGTGTGTGGCGATTACCGAAGGCTCAACGCTATAACCAAGCCCGATCGGTATCCCATACCACGCATACGTGATTTCACATACCAACTCGCAGGGAAGAAAATTTTCTCCACACTCGACCTCAACCGCGCGTACCAACAACTGCCAGTCAGCGAGCAAGATGTGGAGAAAACAGCTATCATAACACCATTCGGCCTTTTCGAGTTTCCGCGTATGTGTCCTGGTCTAAAGAACGCCGGCCAGACATTCCAACGCTTTATTCACGAAGTACTGCGCGAACTCGACTTCGTATTTCCTTTTGTTGATGACCTACTCATAGCGTCAATAGACGAGGAAGAGCACCGAAAACATCTACGCACCGTATTACAGCGACTAGAAGAATACGGCATTACTATCAACCCATCAAAATGTGTTTTCGGTCAGCCAACTGTCAAATTCCTCGGTCATCAAGTCACGGCGGAAGGGATACAGCCACCCCAAGAGAAGGTACAGGCTATCACAGATTTTCCAAAGCCACAAACCGTAGAGGAACTGCGACGTTTTCTCGGTATGATCAACTTTTACCGCGAAAATATCAAAGATGCCGCCACCATACAAGCGCCGCTAAATACTTACCTGCACAACATCAAGAAGCGTGACAAAACTAAGATCGACTGGACCGCTGAATCGACGCAAGCTTATGAAGCATGTAAAGAGAGCATAAAAAACGCCGCTTTACTCGCTCATCCGTCTCACCATGCGACGCTTGCTATATTCAGCGACGCGAGTGACAAAACAGCTGGTGCCGCACTCAACCAGTTTATCAACGACTCGTGGCAACCACTCGGCTATTTCTCGAAGAAATTCAGCGACGCACAGACTCGCTATAGTACTTACGATCGAGAGCTACTCGCCATCTACATGGCTGTCAAACATTTTCGCAAAATGTTCGAGGGACGAGAAATTATAATATTCACGGACCACAAGCCGCTAACATTCGCTTACACCAAATCAAATACAAACAGCGAATCACCGAGACGCACCCGACAGCTACTTTATATCAGCGAATTTACGACTGATATACGACACGTCAGTGGGTCTCAAAATGCAGCCGCAGACGCATTATCACGCATCGACGCAATCACATGTCCATCGCCGATCGACTACAATCAACTTGCAATAGCTCAAGAGCGCGACAGCGATACCATTAAAACACTCGGTTTACAGAGCAACTTATCTTTCAAGGAAGTAAACCTGCCCGCGTCAAACATCAAATTACTCTGCGAAACTTCGACCTCATACATACGTCCGTACCTACCTGAAGAATACCGACGTACCGCATTCGACGCAGTACATAACGTTAGCCACCCTGGAATAAAGACCACGAGGAAATTAATTACGCAACGATACTTTTGGCCCTCAATGAACGCAGATGTCGGCAAGTGGGCAAAAGTATGCCTACAGTGTCAGCGCGCTAAAATACAACGCCACACAACAAGTCCATTATCAATTTTTTCACCAACCGAACGATTCGAACACGTTCACATCGATATCGTTGGTCCGCTACCTACCGCGGCCACCGGTCATCGATACCTTGTGACAATGATCGACAGAGCGACGAGATGGCCCGAAGCATACCCATTATGCGAAATAACAGCCGAAGACGTCGCCAAAGCATTATACGAAGGTTGGATTTCCCGTTTCGGTTGCCCTGCTACAATAACAACGGACCAAGGACGCCAATTCGAAAGCAGAGTATTTGCATCTCTTTCTCGCTTACTCGGAATTGACAAAACACGTACAACATCATACCATGCACAGTGTAACGGTATCATCGAAAGATGGCACCGTGTCCTTAAGGCCGCATTAAAGGCAAGACTACAGACCGCAAGAAGCTGGATCAACGAGTTACCAACCGTCCTACTCGGATTACGCGCCGCCATGCGAAGTGACACCGGCGTAAGCGCCGCCCAACTTACCTACGGATGCAACATACGCTTACCCGGTGATTTCTTATCAACGACCCGCGATAACGTCATTATGGACTCTGCCTACATCGATCAGCTGCGCGACGCAATACGTAACTTGCAACCAATGCCTAAACAACCACACGGCAACACAAAACCTATATTCATACACCGCGATCTGCAGACATGTGAATACGTATTTGTACGCATAGACGCCGTAAAGAAGCCGTTACAAGCACCCTACGACGGACCCTATCGCGTACTGAAACGAGACAGCAAGATATTCACTCTGCAGTTACCTAACCGTGAAACAAACATCTCTATTGACAGACTCAAACCCGCCTACACTATCGCCGAGCCAGATGTGCCCACTGACACAATACCGAGTACCTGCAACAAGCAACTCACATCAAGTGCGAGCGAACTACATAAACCATCAAATAGCCTAAAACATCAAAACGACAACAACCTGAAACATCAAAACGATAACAACCTGAAACATCAAAACGACAACAACCTGAAACATCAAAATGACAACGACCTGAAACAACAAGACATTGGGAACAACTCAATACCTACAAGGACAACTCGCCGAGGCCGCGTTATACGCCTGCCGGTACGCTTCGCTAGAGGGGGAATCCTGTAGGTGATTGATTAACGTGTCGTAATGAAACAGTGATGTGCTCTGACAAGAACACATCAGAATAGATACGGTCGTGTGTTCTGAAAAGAACAGTTTCATCGTGTCGTAGGACACGGTAATATGTCCTGACAAGGACAGTTGTTAAACGTTTTGTCGTGAAACAAGAATAATATGTCCTGAAAAGGACAGTTGTAGACGTTTAGTCGTGATACGATAATTTGTCCTGAAAAGGACAGTTATTAGCGTTATCGCAAGGTTACGATATCGAAGTGTTCTGAGAAGAACACGTTCGTACGCTTCGACGGCTGCGTGCAGAAAAAGGCCAACTTTTTGCCGCGCCGTGTTTTTATCGCCTAGCCTGGTACCTGCGCAACCAACCAACGCTCCGCATCTTGGCACCACATGTCAATATTAGTTGTAAGTGTAGGATAATTTTTAAGTATAATTGTACACAGTTTTGTAAATAAATATCATTCATTATTCCATCTTCACCTCTTCTCTACAAGTAATTAGGGAGTTTTATTTTAACATCGACCAAATAATTCTGGAGCAATCAACCTTCAAGCAACATCCCTATACCTATGTAAAAAAACTGAGTGAAGATTGGCCTACATACGTATAATTTAATCATGTGTTTTTTTTAGTTATTAGAAACCCTGTCACTAATAGTACAACGTGGGGGCTGCATTGCCTGGGCATCAGCTGGTGTAAGAAGTGACACCTTCAGTGAGGCAACACACGCATTTGACGCGGTTCTTCGTGCTAGTTTAAAATACGTCTCGAAAAAGTATCCCTTTTTGTTTCTTTACTATTTCATTGAATGCTTTAATGACGATATAAAATTTTAGTTTTAATTAAATATAAGTTTATTTTAAACAAACGGGGGCAAACGGGCAGGCTCATTAATGTTAAGTGATTCCGCCCATGGGCACTCTTCTGTGAGTTTACTTTACTAACTTGGCCCAGTCACCGTTTTAGTTTTTTATGTATTTCAGGTAGCATTGCTGCATTTGGATTTTAACCCGCCCTTAGCTATAAAAATTATAATTTACCAATCTGTCATTCAGACCATTATATATTAAACGTACTTTAATTGAAAATCATTTATATTTTTAAGTATATTATACTATACATATTACTCATCTTGATTTGTTACAATACTATATTATTATCTTTATTGAGGAAATTGAAGACTTTCGACATTACTGGAGTTAAGTTTTACTTAAATTGATATATAAACAGAATTATATAGGTGTTATAGTCTTTTCACGACATTGCGATTTTTAATATAAAGCCGTTTAATCGAAATAAAGATTTAATGTAAATAAAAACGCCTGAAAAATAAATACTTATTCAATTCCTTAGGGCTCGTTGTGAAGCGATTTGGATCGATCGAGACGAATGCGTAGAGCGTGTAGCGGATAGCGTTATCTCTACGCTCGTGCCTTGTGACACCAGACAACGCGTACAAACCCATCCCGTTTATCGGTAGAAAAAAGAAAAATATTATTTTAATAAAATTTAATAAGAGAAGAAACCGTTCCTTTGAACCTTCTTTACATGTATATTGTGACTTAACCACTAAGCCAAAACAAAACAAACAAACCAGTGGCGCTACAACCTCTTTAGGTATGGGCCTCAGATTTGTGTATCTGTTTCATAATAGCTTATCAATCTAATAGGCAAGTAGGTGATCAGCCTCCCGTGACAGACGCCGTCGACTTTTTGGGTCTAAGTCAAGCCGGTTTCCTCACGATGTTTTCCTTCACCGAGCGAGTGTTACATGCACACATAGACAGAAAGTCCATTAGGGCACAGCCGGGGATCGAACCAAAGAGTCGCATGCTGATGCTTCTAGGCCACAGGCAGTTTTAAAGAAATTTATGTCTTGAAATATCAAATAGTGCATGGATAAAATTGTGAAGAGAGAAAAGAGTTTTAAACATATTAAAACATTAATGGCCTTCATTCAATTTACACATTTATCTGATAACACTTTACCCTTTTAACCCTTAACAAGAATTCAATGTTTTAATTAAAAGAAAATATGTTATATAAACAGTTTTTTATGTCTTAAATAGTAATTCGAAACGTCTTAGAAAATAATAAATTGTATTCAGATTTATATCCGTTAATAATTTTTAATCACTTAAATGTTACAGGAATATTGCAGTACAAATAAGTAAGTTCCTTGCAAGATGGCTGAAGAAAATCACTTGACTGGCCTGAGATTGTTTTTATTGTAATTGTAAATAAAGTTTGACATATTTATACTTTGTTATTTTTATAATACAACAGTCACAAAATAAACTAGCTAACTATAGTGGAAGGAGCGTTACACGCAAGTAAGATAAAAAAAGGGTGCGTGTACTTATGTACGTGCGTAAGAAGTTATACTTCTTTGGCATTACTAAAAATAGTTTTTGATTGCATGCAAATAATTTATTACAATTAAATAATCAAAGACTGGAAAAGAAGTCATTATAGTCAATAAAGTTCAGTTAACATTTGAAATTTTTAAGTGTAACATAAATTCTATTATTATTCGAATGTTGTTTTTAAATTATGTCCAATGCCGTAGCATCTTCCGTGGGCAACTTCATTCTGTTAATTTTGTGTCACGGTGCGCGCGCATCGTAAAATTTCACTCTCATCAATTTTTCATTACGCGCCTAAAGAAGTATTGGTAACTTCAAAAAACGATTGCCGAATTGAAATAGTTGAATCAATTGACCGGAACGGTCAGTTCAGGGGGTTTAGTCTAGATCCATTGAAGATGACAGTTCGTGTCGACCAATTTTCAAACCAATTTAGTTTTCGACTTTCTACAGACAGGTCAGAGCTCAAAACATACGATGAAAAAATGGTCCTCAGGTGATTTGTAATTTAAAGTCATCGACCATTATTATTTTCCTTATACTTGACAGCTTTATATCACATTAAAAATGAAACTTATTAGTAATCTGTGACATTGAGGTTTGTTGTTTCTTAAGACAGAAATTAAAGCTTATTAGAAACAGGGCTATAAACCGGGACCTAGAAACTTCTAAACATTTGCCAGTGTGTCAAGTTTTGCCAGTGGCCAAATCGCACTCACGTGCTTTTTTTCTTCGTGGTCGTAAAAACATTTAACAAATTCTGATGCCTGTTTCTTTGTGTCGTTTACATTTGCTAAAGACTGTATTTAAGAAAATTGTCCTCAAAAGTTAAATTTATCGTAAGAGTATTAAAAAAAGGGTGCGTGTACTTATGTACGCGCGTAAGAAGTTATACTTCTTTGGCATTATTCAAAAAAGTTTGTGATTGCATGCAAATAATTAATTACAATTAAATAATCAAAAACTATAAAAGGAGTCATTATAGTCAACAACGTTCAGTTTACATTTGAAAAATTTAATAAATAAATATTTATTAATATTATATTTACATTTATAATTTTTTTATAATATTAATTAGTATTGATTTAAATATTCAATTTAAATCACTTCTGATTATAATTCAGACGCACATATAAAATTCGCACTTGTATAATGAAAACAAAATGAAAACACGTGTTTTAAATGTAGAAACTCAAAGCATGTAGATAAATATTATAAATATAAATACACAGTGAACAGAGGCGGCGTGCGTGCCAACATGCGCCACTAACTTCATTCTGATAATTTTGTGTCACGGTGCGCGCGCATCGTAAAATTTCACTCTCACCAATTTTTCATAACGCGCCTAAAAAAGTATAACTTCAAAAATCTTTGAGGTTATGATATTGGTACACTGAGATATTTTTATACCACGATATTGTAATATTATGTGTACTAGACTATTATATGTTTTCTGGCAATAAATTATTTAATAAGTTTGTCTCTCTTAATTTGTGACAATTCTTTACTCTATATTATTGCGATATACATAACTCACCAACCTTTAATTAAAGTCTAACAAGCGACTCAAACTTAAATGACGTGTGTTTTGAATTCGTAATAAAATAAATTAATTTTACTGCGTTAACAAACAAGTTCCAACTATAAGAACTTTGTTAGCAGAACTTCAAGAGTCCATTAGATTCACTGGATCTCGAGAAACATTATGGCAAATATTGTTAAAAAATGGTTAGTTTAAACCCAATAAAAATGATATGCCACTTCTAATTTAATATCTACTCTGAGACACAGTTATCTTAGAGCGATTCATAAGAAGCGGCAAGAATGAAAGACAATAGTTTAGGACGAAACATATGTCCACCAAAATTACTTATGAAAGTTAGAGCGATGAATCATTTGAAGGCATCGAATTACTTGAATCAGATTTTAATTAATAAAATAAATATTTATTCCGAATAAATAAATATTTTTAAGTTTAAGTTGCGCATCTTTTTTATTCCTGTTTTCGGTGAAGTGGAAATGTTGGTGTTAATTTTGATGTAGTTAATGTTTTCGTTTTGCTTGTATTTATTTTTAGACTAATTTCTTTGGAGACTCCAAACTTATTAAACAAATAATCAAGTTTAGCAAAAGTCTCAAGATTGTTTTTCGACTATATGCAGGGTTAACAGCTAAAAGATTTTTAAATTTGCCGCCAGAGGCTTGTGCGACGACTCGCTTGTCAGACTACCATAAAGCTTATTTTTTAAATGTATTGTAAACGTATTATGGGGGGGCCTCATAGCCTAGCGGTCTTATTAAGTGGCAGCTAGATGAGGGGTACCGGGTTCGATTCCCGGTTCGAGGGCAAGTTTTAATTAATTAAAATTTGTTCTCGGCCTTTGGGAGGGTTGTGCGGTACCGGGCGAGTGCTTAAACCGTACATGGAGGACACGGTCGAATTTCTAAAGACAAGCACGAATTATAAAAAATCCTATACTTGACGCTGGCTAATCACAAATCGTGCCAGAGCCATAAAAAAGATGTGTCATTTAATCATTATAAACACGAAACATTTAGCATCAACTTAATAAAAATAATAGAAGATGTTGTCAAAGATAACGATACTAGCCGGAAGAAAACTAAGGCTAAGTTAGAGTAAGGCTCGTCAAACAATGTAATATTTTTTAACAGAATTTTTAATTTACTATGCATTAGGATGATGTCAGAAAATAAAAGACCAATATATTGCTTCCTATTTTATCGCTATTTCTATACGTGTTCCTATATAAAGCTTCAAAAAAATTCTAGCTTCAAATCATAGCCTAAAGTTAAGGTGCGCTTACACGGGCAACTAAAATTGCTCAATTCCAGTCAATACTCGTCAATTATGACGTCACGACTACATCAAGCAATTTACGGCAACGGCAACAAGCATCAATACTGCGCAATACAATATTGAGCGATATGGCGCAACTTCATCAACTAGGCAATACTGTCATACACGAGCATTTCAGTTTTCGCTCGCTATGGACGACATTGTTCTTGCTGCGGCGGCTTGTAGTGCTTTTTTTTATTATTAATCAAAAACAAAAAAGAAAGAAAAGGAATAGGCGTATCTGGGTGCGATCGTTTTTGGCAAAGAGGACAAAACTTTCATTATGTAAAAAATTAGATGATATATTCAAAAACTTTACTAGAATGTCACGAACAGACTTTGAATTACTTTTGAATAAAGTTAGCCCATTAATTAAGAAACAGACGACCAACATGAGAGAACCAATTTCTGCATCAACAAAACTTGCTTTAACCCTTCGATTTCTGGCAACTGGAGATTCATACAAAAGTTTAATGTATCTGTTTAGAATTTCTGATAGTTGTATTGCACTATTTGTACCTACTGTATGCAGAGCTATTGCAGAAGTTCTTCGAGAATATATAAAGGTAAGTTATTTTAATTTAAAAGTGAGGATATTTAATTTAAAAATAATTGTATTAATCAACCTTTTTATTTATTTAAATTCACAATTAAGTAGATTTTTAATTCAAATAAATCAATCAGTAGTAATGTACTCCACGGCAGTAGTATTTCCGTCTGAATTACGAACTGTTCTAACCATCAATACACCATCTATTGCTTGTTGAATTGCTTCTGTATATTCGATCTCTGCAGCTGGAGTATTGGGGTGGTGGGTTATTGAAGAAGAAGCGTTTGTAGATATAGGAGAATACTGACATTGAGATTTAATGTTTAGTGCGTTTGTCGCGTTTGAGTCACAAGAATTGCTAGCCTCGTTAACCGACGTAGGACTAGGAGTGGGTATAGCATGGTAGGAAAGAGGATAAGGAGAAGGAGAGTATACACGTTGACGGTAAGTGGAAGAAACGCTGGGTGAAGAAGAATACTGCTTTCCCGAAACACTGCTTCTGCTTCTTTCATCATAATATCCCATATCGGCTTCATATAAGATTGAAGAAATTTTATATTCGACTTGATTGCGTACATACTGACTATATGTTAACAGTTTTTGGTTTACATGCTCTCCAAAAGCTAATGATTTAGTGGAAATCTTCTGTTTTACTGCTTCCATAACTTCACAAGCGTCACGATAACGATCATCTTCAATGGTTTTTTTCTTCTTAGCACTTGGTGACTTCGAAGGTGGTGGTAGTTCGGGCTTAAATGTGATCGTATCATCAGGATTCGTATCAACCTAAAAAATGAAATAAATAGTTATTAAATAAATAGTTATTAAATAATATCATAAAAGAAAATATATTGGTCAGAATGGTGGTCTAAATATGTCCTAAAAGTTTAAGTTTAGATGTCCTTTACACCCTATATAGTCATTGCATATACAGGGAAGTCAAGTGCTATGAAGAAGACATATTAAAATTAGTTAACATATTTCCTTTTTATGGAACTAATGTGATATTTAACTTTTTTTACAGTTGCCTACAAGCGGTGAAGAATGGAAAAGTATAGCGAAAGATTATGAAGATATCTGGAATTTTCCACACTGCTTCTAACCTTAGGTTCTATGGACGGCAAGCATATCCGTATCATGTGTCCTAATAAGAGTGGCAGTCACTTCTTCAATTATAAAAAATTTCATAGCATTGTTTTGTTTGCTGTCGTGGATGCTCATTATAAATTTTTGTACGTAAATGTTGGATGCCAAGGCAGAAACTCTGACGGAGGAGTTTTTGCCAACACAACGTTTGGGAAAACTATCATAAATAAAACATTGCACATTCCACCAGTGGAACCATTACTACACCGAGAACGGAACACTCCGTATGTTTTGGTGGCGGATGATGCATTCCCACTTTCCGAAAATATAATAAAACCATACTCGTGCGATTTAAATCGAGGATCTCCGAAAAGAGTTTGTAAATATAGAATATCTAGAGCACGGAGAGTAGTTGAAAACGTTTTTGGTCTATTAAGTTCAGTATTTCGAATTTTCCACACAAGTTTTGAACTAGAAGTTGAAACAGTTAAATGTGCCACTTTGGCTACTTGTTATTTACATAATTTTTTACGACGAAACAAGCGAGCGCGACAATTATATACACCACCTGCTACGTTTGATATGGAGGATACCGATTTTAACTTAATACCTGGACAATGGAGACAAAACTATGATCCTGACGATTTAATTAATTTAGAAAATCGGCCAAGAAATGCATCTGTAATAGCTAAATTGAACAGAGATGAATTTATGCATTATTTTATGTCTCAACTTGGAAGTGTCCCATGGCAATCTGCTTATTTGTAACAAGGATATGTCGGGTGTAAGAAATCTAACCTAAAACTCCAAGAAAGTTGCGGACGGAAGCAAGTAACTTATAACTTCGGCTCACATTTAAATTCAGTTTTTATACAAAGATTTTACTGCTTTCTCGGACCATACTTGTATACTAAAATAAATGAAATAGAAGATATATATATATATAAATTAAATAAAACAGCTAATAATTATTTGATTTTGCATACGTTCTTTATTAAACTGATTACTTACATCTGATTGTGATTCCGTTTCTAGACCAGAATCAGCTTCATCTGTGGCTTTAAAAAAAAGCAAACTTTTAAAAGCAAACCAATTGCTTTCTTGAAAAGCACCACTGCCACTTTTTTGCTTTTTCTCCAATTTCTTTATTTCATTGTTAAAATATTTGCGTAAATTTTTAAATTTTTTTACTGCCTCGTCATGAGATATTTCAAACTGCAGCCCAATAGCAGTCGATTCATCTTTTTTTAGCAAACGATCCTTAAAATCAGGACTTTTGTTATCCCACAAACAAGGATGCAAGCGAACTGCATCAATAAAGTTAATAATCTTTTCATTATTCCACGACAAAGACGACGCCATTTTAAAATGCAGTCAAAACAAAAATATAATGTTACGAGGAAACAGTTCAATTTCATTTCCAATGTTTACGCTGAATGCTAGTTAATTAGCGCACTGTAATTATTACGGACATTACCTCGGCTTTGCAAAATTCCAAATGAATCAATTAAAAAATACGACATAAAATAATCAAGCTGTTGGCTATGTTTGACTAGACGGTAAAAAAAAAAAGGAACACTGTTGTGTGAACCAAAACAGAATGAAGTTGTAATTTATAAATAATTATAAAATATATTATTTAATTATTTATAAATTACAACTTAACTTAACTTTTATTTTAATTTATTATTTTTAATTTATTTATAACACAACAAACAGAGGCTGACTACGCGCTGGACTCTTGCTGCGCGCTATCCTACTTCCACCCGACCTCTCGCTCTCCCCGCAAGCAAGACGGCAAGCCGCAAAACAAACAAGTGCGAATGACATATATACAAAAATTGCTAGGAATTTCCAAGTCCATTGGATATTCGTCAATTCGTATCTGCGACATTGAGCGTTATGAAATATCTGGAGCAATTAGAAGCAATATCGCCGAAATAATTTATTAAAATTTCTTGAATTTCTTGAAATTGCTCCATTAATTGCTCCAGATCGGTCCATTCGTGTTGCCGAGCAATTATTGCCCTCGTGTAAGCGCACCTTTAGACAGAAGATTCTACTTTTTAGGCTGGCAGCATACCTACGGTTTCCTCATTAGGTTTCCTGATCCGGAATTCAGATTAGGTTTTCCGTGATCCTAGCGCAGACGTTAGGTTTTTTGTATTCGGAATTTATGCCGCCAGTGGGTATTGTAACGCTTTCGTGAATGCACGTATCATGAACATGGATGACGAATAATTAATTGGGATAGCACTTTTATTGGCGCTAAACAAGAAAAAAACGAAACGTTGTTATTGGGTCCATACATTAAATACTCAAAGAATAAAAGAAAGTCAATTTTATCTGAAAAGAGCAAAATTAAGAGCACACCCCAAAGAGTTCTTCAAATTTTAAAACAAAACATGTAAAACGAAAAAAAACTAAAAATATAACACACGTAGGTACGTCCACTCAACACGAACGCGAGCCGATTCTGAATGGAAATTTCCGAACGTCCTAAACGTTCGGAAATTAAGCGCATACACACGTTTTCCGTATTCGATTTCCTAATTCGTTTTCCGTATTCGGACATCCGAATGCATGGAATCAGTAGAAAATGTATTAACTGACGCACACGGTTGCTTTTTATCCGAACGGAATAAATTCCGCACGTACGTTTCGAGTGCAAGTCGGCGCGTTCGGAGAAACCTACTGGAAAAAACCTAATGACGTCACGCGGAACGCAACGCTTGCATACATTTTGTTCGAGCCGGCGCATACATTCGGAAATTTCTATTCAGTATCGCACCAACGCCGCGTGCATCGGACGTATTCTCTGTATTTGTTACGCCATAGAAAGGCAACACGAAAATGTGTGAGGCAGAAATATTAATATTTGCTGTTGAAAAATACCCCTGCCTGTGGAATATTCATGACAACGACTATCACAACAGACATGTCAAAGATTTGGCCTGGGAGAACGTATTTAAAGAGGTTATAAAGGATTGGGACACGTGCACTAAAGTGGACAAAGAAAACAAAGGTAAGGTAAGGTCTCGTTATATTGGTACGATATTTCCCCTGCCGGTGTCATAAAGTACTCAGCAAAATTGTCTCTTATGTTTCGACCTCGGTTTGTGGATCTGTGTTGTGGACTACGGAAAGGTATATCTTCGAAGTAATGTGTCAGAGTATCTTCAAATCGATAGCCGTCTCTTCTGCGTACACAATTATGTAACACACACACTGCCTTTTTTACTAATACTGCAAAGTCTGGTGGAATCGTCATGCTAGTGTGAAAAATTCTCAATTTATTCGAGAGAATGCCGAAGGCACATTCCACTACACGTCGTGATCTGCTGAGGCGGTAGTTGAAGATTCTGCTTTGGGTATTGAGATTACTTCTCGGATATGGTTTCATAAAATTGTTATTGAGTGGAAATGCTGCATCTGCATCGCCAAGAAACACAAAAGGTCGGTATGTGTCATTGGTATTCGGCAGAGGTTTTGCTTCTGGCATATTAAGGCGATTCTGAGTTATCTTTTTTCCAAAATTCCAGTTGTTGAATATATTAATATCGCTGTCTCTGCCATAAGCACCAACATCTACAGCTATAAAACGGTAGTCAGAATCAACTACTGCCAATAGTACAACAGAGTAGAAATGTTTATAGTTATAAAAGGCAGATCCACTATGCAGAGGAGAAATCAAACGAATATGTTTCCCATCCACTGAACCTACGCAATTAGGGAAATTGGTTCTTCTATAATAATTTTCAGCAATTTCTAGCCAACATTCTTTTGAAGATGGTGGCTTCATTTCCAAAGGTTCAAAAACTTCCCATATTGCTGTACAGGTTTCCTTGTGGCGTCCTCGTCGTCATTGGTAGCTGAAATAAAACATCAATAAAAATTACTAAGAATTAAATTATTAAAAATGTACTTACCAACTTCTACGTATAGACCGTGTCTATTGTTCTCCGCGGCAGGCGGGGGGCGAGGCACGCGCATTCCACAGCGCGCTCCGCCACCAGTACGGCCCACGATTTCTTAAGCGACACACGTGCAACTCGCTGCCGACGCCGCGGTTTATTTTTACGAAAATATATACATCGTTGAGATCACATAAGTTTTATTATTTATATAGTGTTTATACGACAACGCGAACACTATACTGGTGACCCCGACGTGATAAGAGTAAGAAAAAAACTACACGCCACGCGGTCTTAGCACTTTTGCCATGCAAGACGAAAACGGTGGGGACACGGACAATATGGAAAAAGGTGCACATGAAATTTTCAAAGTTGGAATTAAAATACCACCATTTTTACCGAATAGACCTGCACTCTGGTTTGCTCAACTGGAAGGCCAATTTTGTTTGGCGGGGATAACGTCAGACACGACTAAATTTTATAACGCGACTAGCCAGCTGGACCCACAGTTCGCTATTGAAGTTGCAGATATTATAGAAAGTCCTCCCAAAGACAACAAATACCAAACCCTCAAAGCGGAGCTAATAAGGCGATTAAGTAAACCGCGCGAAGAAGAAATTAGGCAATTTTTAGACAATCAAGAACTCGGCACTAGAAAGCCTTCACAATTTCTTCGTCACCTACAACATTTGGCCGGACCACAGGTACCAGACGAATTTATTAGATCAGCATGGCACAATAGGTTACCCAATAACATTCAACCTATCATTGCATCGCATATGGATATGCCGCTAGAGAAACTTGCAGAGTTGGCTGACAAAATTATAGCCATCGCAGCCCCAACCCCACCAAATGTTTACGCCGCTACATCGTCCTCAGCTAACCAACATGCTGGAAATCCTCCAGACCACTACCTCACCGTTTTAGAAAGCTTGGCCAGGCAAGTTAACGAATTAACCAAGCAAGTTGCTTTCCTGAGCATGAATAATAGCCGATCAAGCAGATCACCACAACGTAGGTATAACAGATCAAGATCTCACTCACGCTCCACCCAAAGATGGAAGGAAAACAAAATGAATAGCGTGTGTTACTACCACAGAAAATTCGGTGAAGGCGCCATAAAATGTCTCACGCCCTGTTCCTACAAGACTTTAAACGCGAACGGCAGCCTGTAGTGGCGGCTAACGACTGCCTAACGCATACTCCTAATGACCGCCTCTTCATCGTCGAAAAGAAAACTAAACTGAAGTACTTGATAGACACGGGATCTGACGTTTGCGTTTTTCCTAAGTCGGCGACCAGAGACCAGCGTCATAAAACTAAATATGAGTTATACGCTGCCAACAACACTATCATAGCTACGTATGGCTACATATCCTTACACCTGGACCTCGGACTTCGCCGGGACTTCACCTGGAGATTCGTAGTTGCGGACGTCACACGACCCATCATTGGTGTTGACTTCTTGGGCCACTACAACATATTAGTGGACTGTCGTCGTCACCGCCTCATCGACGGCCTCACAAGTTTGTCCGTCAACGCGCCACGCTGCGCCAACATTGCTGTGGAAACGGTGACCATCAAAACAGTTGCTGGAAACTCCGACTTTCACGACTTACTTCGCAACTACCCAGATGTAACGAAACCTACTGGAAAGCCAAAAGAAACCAAGCACCAAACGAAGCATCATATACGTACTACCCCTGGTCCACCAGTCGCAGCTCGTCCCAGACGTTTAGCCCCAGATAGACTGCTTATTGCGAAAAAAGAGTTTGAAGAGATGTACGCAAATGGAACAGCTCGTAGATCAGAGAGCCCATGGTCATCTCCCTTACATTTAGCCAAAAAGAAGGACGACGGTTGGAGACCATGCGGCGACTATAGAGCACTTAATGCCAGAACCATCCCTGATCGATATCCAATAAGACAGATTAATGACTTTGTTTACCAGCTGTCTGGAGCTAAAATATTTTCAAAGGTTGACCTGATTAAGGCCTACAATCAGATACCTGTCGCGAATGAGGACATACCTAAAACAGCCATAACGACACCATTCGGACTGTTCGAATTTCCGTATATGACCTTTGGTTTAAGAAACGCTGCTCAAACCTTCCAAAGATTCATCGATGAAGTTCTTCAAGGCCTGGAATTTACATATGGGTATATTGACGACATCCTAGTATTCTCGAAGACCAGAGAACACCATCTTCAGCACCTTAAAACTGTCTTCGAACGACTTAACCAGTATGGCATCTTAATAAACACCTCTAAGTCCATATTCGGCATTAACGAAGTAACTTTCCTCGGCTACAGCGTCTCGACTGAAGGCATACGCCCTCTCAAAGAGAAAGTGGAAGCAATTACCAACTACCCACAGCCGAAAACAGCAAAGCAACTCCGACGGTTCCTGGGAATGATAAACTACTACCGGAAATTCATCCCTGATGCAGCAAAGATACAGGCTCCTCTGAACGATGCCCTAACAGGTAACATCAAAGGAAATGCACCTATCGATATGACTAACCTTGTAACAGCTTTCAATGAGTGCAAGCGCAGCCTATCTCAAGCCACTCTTCTTGTCCACCCTGAAATCAACCTGGATCTAGCCTTATTCACAGATGCTTCAGACGACTCCATCGGCGCTGTCTTGCAACAAAAACGAAAAGGCAACTGGGAACCCTTGGGATTTTTCTCTCGTAAACTGACGACATCGCAAAAAAAATATAGTCCATACGATAGGGAGCTACTGGCCATATACGAAGGTATCAAACACTTTAAATATATGTTGGAAGCAAGAAACTTTTGCATTTACACCGACCACAAGCCCATCACCTACGCCTTCACAACAAACAGAAGCCAGTGCTCTCCAAGACAATTCCGCTATCTTGACTACATATCTCAATTCACCACCGATCTAAAATACATCCCCGGGAAAGACAACATCGTCGCTGACGCCCTATCACGCGTAGAAGAGATTGTCACTATAAATTACGACGCACTTGCAAGAGATCAGGCTCAAGACCCTGAATTGCAAGCTTTGCTAACCAAAAACACAGCACTACAACTGAAACAGATTGCTGAAAACCAGCTGTACTGCGATTTTTCCACCAAATCGCCTAGACCGTACATAACACCTGCCTATCGCAAACGCGTTTTTGAAACCATACATCAACTCAGCCATCCAAGCGGCCCTACCACTGCTAAAATGGTAGCTCAAAGATTTGTGTGGCCCGGAGTAAGACGCGATTGCAAAACTTGGGCAAAGGAATGCGTAGACTGCCAACGAAGTAAAGTCAACAGACATACGAACGCACCATTTACAACCTTTCCAGTACCATCAGAACGTTTCGCCCACGTACACCTGGACATTATAGGCCCATTACCATACTCTAATGGCTTTAGATACTGCCTGACAGCAATAGACCGCTTCACACGTTGGCCTGATGGCTATCCACTAGCGGATATTACAGCAGAAACTTGTGCTTCCGCGTTCATTACCAACTGGGTATCTCGTCATGGATGTCCACAAACTGTAACAACAGACAGAGGCTTACAATTTCAATCACAACTCTTCCAAAGCATCACCAACCTGATCGGCGCAGAACATCGTCCCACCACCTCATACCATCCGCAATGCAATGGAATGGTGGAGAGATTACATCGCCAACTAAAAGCAGCCATCATCTGTCACAACAACCCACAGTGGACTGAAACACTTCCCCTAGTGCTACTAGGAATAAGAGCTGCCTGGAAAGAAGATCTGCAGGCATCAGCCGCCGAGCTAGTATATGGAGAACCACTACGACTACCGGGACAATTTTTCTCAACTTCGCTTGACCAGAACCTAAATCCAGCAGACTATACAGCTCGCTTGAGAAATCATATGGCAGCATTAACCCCAACTCCTGCATCAAACCACAACAGTAAAACATTCTATTTGCCGAATGACATACATACTGCACAGTTTGTTTTTCTTCGCCGTGGTCCCGCAAAACGATCGCTTGAATCACCATATACCGGCCCTTATAAAGTTCTGAAAAGAAATACAAAAACATTTTCATTAGACATAAAAGGCAAAGAAGTTACAGTAACAATAGACAGAATAAAACCAGCTTACCTTACGAAAGAAAACAGAGAATACGACACGACCATTCGTCCACCGATGACCGCACTGCCGTTCCACACCAATCACGATGCACCGCCACCTGAAAAAAAGACTAGAAGTGGAAGATTAGTTAAGTTTCCGGACTACTATCGACCGTGAAACGGTCTCGGCAGGGGAGTGATGTGGCGTCCTCGTCGTCATTGGTAGCTGAAATAAAACATCAATAAAAATTACTAAGAATTAAATTATTAAAAATGTACTTACCAACTTCTACGTATAGACCGTGTCTATTGTTCTCCGCGGCAGGCGGGGGGCGAGGCACGCGCATTCCACAGCGCGCTCCGCCACCAGTACGGCCCACGATTTCTTAAGCGACACACGTGCAACTCGCTGCCGACGCCGCGGTTTATTTTTACGAAAATATATACATCGTTGAGATCACATAAGTTTTATTATTTATATAGTGTTTATACGACAACGCGAACACTATATCCTTAACAACGGCTGATACGGTCCTGCTCCCCATTAAATATTCAAAGTGTAACTCTTCAAAATTTTTACCAGTTGCCAGGAATCTGAAAAAAAATATTAAAAATAATATTAATTACATTTCAGGTGCTGAGGCAAAGAAAAAATGGACACACATTAGAGACTACTTTCGAAGAGAATTTCAAAAAAATAAAAGTATTCTTACAGGCAGTGCCGCTAAAAAGGTTAAAAAATATGTTTATGAAGACCTGTTGTATTTTCTTATACCGGTATTTGATAAAAGAAATACCGAAG